AACAGTCATATTAGCACTCTTCTCAAAAATAGTGTTGGTCAAAACTCCATTTATGTTGGCTTTTTATGCCTGTTTGTTATTTTAAACATTGGTATGAAGTTAATATTTCCAAGACTGTTAAAGATTAAGAGAAGTGAAAGTTCCTAGGAGTCTAAATTCTGAGAGAAGTTTGACGGAGCATTAAGTTTCATTTAAATGCTACGATGATAACATGTACCGCTAATGAAAGCAAGAGATGTACTTTTTTCATTTCTGATACCATACTGATACTACAGCTATGTGAATTGACCCAATACAAAATTAGCATGAATCATACGTGCTTACTTATTTTACATCAAAGAATTTCAGAAAATGTTTGATCAAGTGATGTTACAAAAACGAAGAACAAAAGGCAACAAAAATCTGTATAACAACAATTGAACCATGTGATATTAACCATTTGGATACAGAAACTTTAAAAGGAGGCAGAGTGTTTCTAACATGAAAGCTCAGCATGAAAGTATTGGAAATTTTGGATGCTGGTTGAAATAATCCGATATTTTTTTTAGCTAATATTCGACCGATATTAATACCGACCGATAATGACACCCCTAATTAAAGCATTAAGTAACAGATTAATCTAAAGGTTGTAGCAACTGTAGTACTAACACTTGCATAGCAACCCTAGGCCAGCCTTATACAATGTATCTGCCAAAAAAATTATTTTGGGGTGAGTTACTCTTTAGAGGTAAAGAGAGCAGCATAACTGGCTTCTGCAATTCTGTTTGAAGCCAAGATCTGCTTTCTGGAAAAGCCACTCTGTTTGCCTGTTGGGGCTTTCTAGCTCTGTATCAGTACCTTTTCATTATTTGATTATTTATTATTTAATGTTGTATTAACTTTATATTCCACCTACAAATAAATAAAACCAACATTTCTTCAGAGCAATGCTATGCCTTTAGCATTGCCCTTTAATGTTGCCCAAACTTCATTTAAATTATGGTTGTAATAGCTGTAAGATATAATGATTAAAGTTACGAGGGAAAAAACAGCTTTAAATATCACTGTATGTCGTAAATTAAGTTTCACTTTTAGGATTAAGTTGCTGAAGTTAAGAAACTTTTCGATAATCTAATTTGAGGTACACCTGTGGTTGGAGAGATCAGTATTTGTACATAAATGAATGTCTCCCTTTGTATATGTAAACTAAACCACATGAATAACATATAAGGCAGATATACATTTTGTAATTATGTTACTACATTGTTGATGTTATGGCACATGTATAAGCTCTTATCAGCATTAAAGTAAAGAGTCATTGCTCTTATTTTATTGTGTTTCATTTCTTCTTTCGCTGTCTAAACATGTGTTTTCAATTGGAATATAATTAAGCAGATTAGTAGGCATTTTTGGGGCGTTTCCCCTTCCGCAGGGGCAGATCCCCATAATTAAACGGCACTTTTGGGCTCCGTTTAGCCTTGATGCTCCTGTACACAGAGCAGCTTCTGGTGATTTATCATTCACACATCAGCCATAATGGGAAATAGGGTAGGCTGGTCTCATCGGTCAGGGTCAGGGTTAGGAGTTTGCGTTGTGCTGGTTATGAGAGGATGTTTTGTTTCTATGCATCCCATGCAAAAGTCTAAGTTGGTGGGTTTTTATTATTCTGCTTAAAGGTCTGTTTTAATCTTTAATACTTTATAATAATCCCTCAGACTCTGTCATAAACTATAAAAAAACTAAATTATAACTAAAAAAAACATGAAATTTAAAAACCTTCTACCTTGCATACTATCAGTATGCAAAATGGTGATTTCACTACTATTTATAAGTTGAGTATTTGCTGCTGTTCTTTTCACAATTTTATATTATATCAACTCCAAACTTCATTTTAACCTTATTAAAATCTCATATCTAATCTATCGAAATCGAAAAAATATGTATTGAAAAACTAATTTGTTTTCTTGTACATTTATTGCTTGTTTTTTGCCATGTGCACAGTTGTGCTGTTGGGACACTAAAATATATTTTTAGTTTAATATTACACATAACTAGTGAAAGAACATTTTTTGTTTTTTTTAAGCCATTAGGATGTTGAAGCTATATTTTTTGCATAATGTTTGGTTAAAACAGTATCTTTAAAAGGGATTCATGTGAGGACTACTTAGGAAAACTTAACACCTTTGCTATTATTCCTGTTGAGAGATATTTACTGAGAAACCTGTGGTGAATTATTCTAAAGATGGAAGTAGTTTAAAACCGTGACGTCCCATAAAAAACATATTGGACAGTGGAAAGTATTAATGGCATAGTTTTTTTGGGGGGGTTTTAAGGTTAGATCTGTTTAAAATTTACAGGGAAAAAAATGAAAACTTACTTATTCTGACAAGTGTTTGATTTCACTTAATAAGCACTCTGTGTAAAACGGGATGATGGTTTAAAAGTTTATTAATAGTTTCCAACCCTAAAAAAAAAGAGATGTAAGAAGAAGATGATTGTGTGTTTGATTGGAATTTTCTTAAGGTAGTGAAAGTCAATTTTGGCCTTGGTTCCTCTCGCACTTAGAGCTAACTTCGGCCTTTCACACCACAGTTCAGATGTTTGACAATCTTGTTTGTGCAGAGCAGCCATCTTGGATGTTGATCCCTGGTTTGCTGACTTTGTAAGCTGGTAGTAAGGTTTGGGGATTTTGTTGTTGTTCTTATCTCAAACTCACATATTCTGACTTTAGAGTGTGAATCAAACAAACCAATAGAAAGTTACTACATCTAAGATGCTGGCTACTTATATAAAACCTTTAAAAATATATATATATTTTTTAAATATCAATGTGATTTTAAATCCTGTTTAGGCTTTTGAGCAAATCTTTAGGTTCATAGGAAGACCAGAATGGTAATTGCCTGTCTTTCTGCCTCAATCATGATCTATAAAGAGATGCAGACACACCAACCCCTGCTGACATGAAACTGTTGACGTCTGCCGTTTCCCCTGTGCTAATTTATGCAGGATTATGCTAATTCACAGGAGTCATTGTAAAACCTCTCACACCCAGGAATGCCAGTGGAAAGAATGAGAGTACTAAACTGTTTCTGTCTTCTTGTGTTGCATTTCTTTACGGAACATTTGAACTCAAAGCCCTCTGCTTATCCTAAAGGCATAAAAATAAATGTAATCGTTACATTTGAATTGGGTTTACAGGAGTTTAAGCACATGTTAAAGGAATTGTTGAAAGATTTTTGAAGTGAGGTTCTGTTAAACGGGTATAAGCATATAGTAGATGGCTCCAAGGATGTCCCCAATTTTCAGTCAAGATTTGTTGATCCCAGAAGATAAAGAAACTATTCTGGGTAAGACAAAGACTCCTCCTACCATCATAATATGACTCCAATTTGTATGTATATGTAAAAAGGCCGGTAGTCAACCTCCTGGCAGCAGGAGGTTGACTACTTAATTTCTTTCAATGATAATCAAAAACTTTGACTTTCAGCCAAGGTAGCTGTCTGCTTTGAAATTAAAGCACTGTAAAAATGGAGTTTAACTTAACCCTTATTTTAGAAATTTTGTTTGATGAGAACAAATTGACCCATGTGTTTGCTTCTCACTATATAGGCACATCTCAAAGGATTGGTTTATTTTATGAATTCAGTTCAAACTGTAAAACCCTCAGATTTGTTAAAAGTTTTATTGAATTTTTGATCTTCTAAACTGTAAAAATTAAAATACAATTTAGTTAGATTTAAGCAGGAGAAAAACAAAGTGTCAATGGGATAGGATGATTTATGATTAAAATAAGATGACACAACTCAATCTTATTTCTAGTGCAAAATATGTATTTTATATT